ATTCAAGGCCCAAAGCGGAAGAGGTGGGAGGGGCTCTTGGGGCAATTTTGCTCGGGCTCAGACTTGGCTGACAGGGTCAAGGGCGCGGGACCCAAACCAAAGTAAAGCTTCAGAAAGCAGAAACGTAGTGTTGCTTTCTCTCAAATCTCTCTTATAAGCTGTTGATGAAGGTGATCTCGTAGTATTTCCCCTTTTTTCTCTAACGTTCAAAGGTTTTCATGGCTTCCCTCTGCAGCTGTAGGAAATTGGAGTCTTGTTTTAGTTCTCCACTCTAAGGATACAGTGACGCTAGGAAACATCCTTTCTGTTCCCATATAGTGCACTTGACCTTCTAGCTTCCTCTCCGAGCTCACGGCCTCGCGTCTCCCACCGCAGCGAGTTTAGAGGTCCCGCACTCAGTCTGCGCCATTGGCCTTGGGTGGGGGCGGGGCTGGCTGCGCCTCCAGAGCCGGAGGGGCTTCTGGGAAGCGCCAGGCGCAGGGGGCACGTTCCGTGCAGCTTCGCCTCTCGCTCGGAAGCTGAAGTGAAAGCCCTCGAATAAAGGTAAGAACCCGACGCGGCCCCGCACGAGCTACGGGGAAGGTGAAGCTCACCTCTTAGGGTCTCAAGCCTGGATGGGGTGGCAGCGGTCCCCTGTCCTGCTCTAATCCCCCCACCGGGCGAGCCAAGGCCCTCAACGCTCTCCCAGCCGGTTTAGCAGTTAACAATTCAACAAACATTTGTTCAACCGACGTTTCCTCCCGGAGCTGCTCAGCCCACGGCACCGACACTGGTTGCAAAGGGCTTTCTTAACCCAGCGTCAGAATCCGCCTGCCCGCCTGCCTGGGAGATTCACCCGTAAGCCCTCAAAGAAAAAGCTGTCTTTCCCTTTCCTCTGTGGCCCCTTAGCGCTTGCAGACCGCCAACTTAAACCTTTTCCTTAGCCAACGAAACCTTTCCAGCTTGTTCCCGCCATTCATTACTCCAGATGAAAGTGACCTCCCTACGTTCTTCTTTGCGCGATGCGTTCACCCAAGTGGTCGTTTTTATCTCCCCCAGCCCCCTTTTCTGAAGCATGGGAATGTTGAATCCTGTCTAGGTGAGATCGTGAAACTGTTTCGTATCTCAGAGCCCTAGATCTACTGTTGTGGCCACTGAAACCCCAGCTGTTGCTTGCTTTCTCCTGAGGCCTCGGCGGCAGCAGGTGTGTTTGCGGTCTTGCGTGCAAGCAAGTCAAGCGTTTCCACCTTGCAGATTAGCCGCGCCGTGGAGCTGGCGCGTCCACACGCGAGAGAGTCCGATTCGTTGCATTTCCTGCTTGGTCTTTGTCTGCAAGTGACTTTTGGACCCTCAGTTTACCTCCTGGTTTTGAAAACCGGTAGCCTTTTGTGAGAAACTGGGTGGAGGTGGGTGTGGCGAGAGTGCTCTCGGGTGAAAAGGAACCAATGCAGGGGTGTTTTGGGGTCTTGTTCGGCTATGCTGCAGAGTAGCTCAGTTTTTCACCTTTGGAAAAGGCTGAAACTTAGTGCTTTGTGCCTCTCCGGTCTGCAGTCCTACTTCATATGGATGACACAGGGAGTGACCATGTGCATGAGTGATCTTGAACTTTCCAGATGAGCTTAGCTAGGCTTGATAGGAAAGAGTCAACAGGTATACTAACTATGTAAGTGTGCGATGAGGAGGGTATGAAAAGATTTGAGATGATGTGTATCATACCTTGTTCCTCACAGCCATCATCTAATAGTTTGTTCTGCTTAAAAGAAAAAAATAGCGAGAGCAACTAAAATTTCTATTAGGAAAGACTTGCATTGATAAAATCTTGGCAAGCATCTGGTTTAAGGGGGGTGGGTGGAGAATGGAGAGATTATGTGACTAAATTGACACTATGTTACACCCCCCCACCCCCCTTAGCTCTTATTTAAACGTGTTTGGCAATTTCACTTCTGGGTTGACAAGGGGACAATGCTAAGCTCGCTCACAATGTGTGCATCCTGAGACATACTTTTTTATCCTTTTTTTAAAA